GGGGGCGTGTATTTGAGTTGTGAGCACGCAAACGTGCTGCAGGGATTGTAGGTGTACCTCCTCGGGCTTGTGTACCCTTTTCTTGCTTATAGTGTGTGTGTTCTCTAGATCTTCTGATGACTCTAGCATTTTCGTGACCACGGACCGAGTCTTGGCTAGATTTTGGGATCAGCAACTGACACGAGTTTAATGTGAAGAAAAACAACCACAAAACCCTCTGTGTCGAACACAGGCTACGTACAGCAGTAGAGTGTCATTTTTTCCCAGTAGTCTACGCCGCAAATTTGATCAAGCATATACTTATAGGATAAAGTATACAATCCGTGCTTTGGGGTTGGGGTTAGGCATACAACAACACATATACAACTCACCACCATTCTGCTGGTCGGCCGTAGAGGCTCGGAACGTGACTGCCTGCGACTCGGTCGGCAATCCTTAGGAATAATAGTCTGTCTCTACTTGGTAGCAATCTGTCATACGCTGTAGTACATACTAGATCTATGCATGAACATTTTTCACTATTTACTCGCACAGCGCTACGAACCCCATATCGTTATCTCATAGCCTCGGCAACAAGCCCGCTTGCGCGCGTTTAGCCCCCAATACGTTCCACGTCCTTTTGTTGCCCCCCCATACGTTCCGCATCCTTTTGGTGCGCTTTGTTGGCGAAACCCCTGCCCCACGTCCCGCAAACGCGGTGTCGACCAAGCACTCGCCCGCTGCGATCGTGCCGCCGACCATCTTTCTCTTTCGTCTTGGTGTTTTATTTCCATCGGGCACACAAGGCGAAAGGGAGGAACACGACCTCTAAAGGGACCCCTCTGTTTATACAATGGTTCGCGCACGCCTTTGAACAGCCCCTCGGGGGGGGCGCTACAGTAACCGTCTTGCCTTTCCCCCCGGCTCAATCTTCCTCCCCATCGTGCCAGTGTCGTTAAATGTTATTGGGTCGCGCCCGACGCTCCCCATCTCTCCCGGCTATGTCTCATTGCTGCTGTTTGTTGCCAAAAAGCATCGTTTGTTTGTCGACCAGACAACCGGGGTGGCACGGTACTACGCCATGTGCTCATCCCTCTTCCAACTTGGGGTGAGTCAATCGTGTCACACGAACTGCTCCAGGTCAGGTCGTCTAGACTTCCTTTCGGCAAACTAGTTATTGACCATGATTTCGAACAACGCCTTTCGTCGGTCCCCAAACCCCTGCTGCGTGAAACCCTAGGAACCGTCTTTAAACCTGTTGCACGTGCAACGTTACCAACATGTGCTCTACACAACTTGAACATCATTAGGCGTCCTGCCGCTCTGTTGACCGTTCTGACAACACCTTCTCCAGCTCGGCGACGCGCTCTTCCAAGCGCTGCGCCCTTGCCTCTTCTCTTAGCCTCCTCTCTTCAATTTGAGACAGGGAATTCTCCGATGCTCGTGCTCGCTCTTCCGCGGCTTTCAGGGCCTGCCTAAGCGCGAAGACCTCGCTATCATTCTTGTTATCCCTGCACCCATTATCTTGGCCCTCTGCTGTAGACCCAATACCCCCGGCGGTGTCGGCCGTTGTGGTGGCACCACCCGTTATAGGGACACGTTTTTTCGGGTCCGACGCTCGTCCCGGCGTTTGACCGGGAGCAGACGTTGCCCTCGACGGCGACCCTACTTCACTGGTGGTGAGCGGCGTCTCTGGTGAAACACCGGTTTCCTCAGCAGCGGCCGTAACAAGGGCAGCAGCCGACGAAATTTCAGCATATCGCCCTTCGTTTTTCCCCGTTGACGAGTGGTCCTGTTGCACGGCGTTTTCGAGGGACCGGGAAACAAACACCAGTGGGTATTGGTCACCGTTAACACTTGCCAACTCCGACAACAGTAACATATGAATGCCACAACCTAGATGGCCCCCCTCCCGTCCAAAACAATGTGTGCTCGACAAGAAGAATGTTTTTCGCGCGGAAGCAAGCATGCAAGACCGTGGCAACAGCTGTATCTCGATCTCCCGGAGCAGCAGCATCAGACGAACATATTCGACCGTATTTCCCGCTGCTCAAGACAACCAGTGGGCAACGCCCGGTCGACAGCACCTGGGCGTGCGGAGTGGAACGCCTTTCTCTGTGGACATCAGCGGGGCATTCTGAGGCTGCACGAAAGATGTCATGCCTTTAGAGTAGACGAAGCAAGTGAGGTACACCTACCCGAATGCGATCAGCCGCGCTGAAGGAAATGTGCCTGGTTGCCTGGCCCCCCGCTTGGTTGCTATTTGCCCCATCGACGGCTGTTTCGGCATCGATCTCTCCAGCGTTTTTGTTTGTTACCACGACAGAAGGCAGTGGGAGAAGGGTACCAGGTTTGTGCGAGGGGGCTGTTGGCGATGACAGCAGTAGTGGTGCCGCTGCCGGGACCGACGCGCCGTTTATTGTTCCGGTGCCGGCGGCATGTACGACCGTTGCCATCATCGTTCGGGGTATTGCTGGGCACGACCCTCGGCGCTGCTTGGTGTTCTTCACTCTGGCTGCGTGCTCTTTCAGCAGGGTGAGCGCGATCTCTCGAGAGTCCTCGCTCAAGTCGCTTCCTACCACGTCGCCCGGCGTCTTTCCTTCAGCATCCTTGAAGTTGGCGTCTGCCCCTCGCTTGAGGAGCAGCTCCACGACTGCAGTGTAGCCGTATCTGCGCAGACCCGTATGGAGTAGAGGGTGGAGGGTTGGAAGATATAGCTCATGCCGGCTCTCGCATGTTCCTCGAAGTCTGACATACATGCAATCATATGAAGCCGATTGTTACCTGAACGACCGAACCTGACCGTTCACTGAGGGGGGAGGGGGCATCGATGAGTGCGGATAAACATACAGACAGGAAAGGAGGGCGCCGACTCGACCGGCCGTATCTTAGCGACCTAGTCTGGCGATTGAAACCCTTGCATCCTAGTGCGTTCCACGGCTTGTAGCGTGCTCTGGAATTCAGCGCCTGGGGTAGTCCGCACGCTAGCACGTGTCAAGATATGTAGAAGTACACGTTATTCGATGTAACTATCCTTACCTGTTTCTCTCCCCTCCATAGACCCATAAGGATCTCGAATGCCATTATATCGGCACTATTGGCGTTGAAGCTGCTGGGAAGTACAATGTACGATTCCAAGTTGAATTTCGAGAAGCATACTTGTTTCCCTCCCTACCCCGACGCTACGTATCCCGATGGGAATCTCCGTTTTGTGAAGACAACACGTACTTCAGGTACACCAAGGGCGATATCGTTGATGGTTGAGGAGTTGAGGAATCTATTCCGGTGAGACGATATAAGAGTGTGCATGTCGCACACCACAACAACATCGTACACATGAAAACAAGGCGAATGGGACGCAAAATGCGAGACCAGGATGTGCTTTCGCTTTGGCGTTCCAATAAGAGTCTTGTAAGGTGCTTATTCCAAGAAGGGGCCGGAAAATCCTTCAGTTGAAGCCAGCGACGGAGAGATCAACAACCTGGATCTCCGTAGCGAAGACGCTGCACAATCACTGCCAGAGACTTGTTTCTGCCGCCGTTAACCTAGTGATGAACCTTATCGTGCTGCATGCGCCAAATTCTCATGGAGACAAAACGGGCGCGGGAGACGGTGAGAGATATTCCATGACTGAATCCAGGATGATGACGAATGTATGGGCCCCGGAGGAGGCGTTGGGAACAGACCAACACTGGGGGGAACTAGAGATGCGGTTGAACCTATCGTCGCCTACACTGCGACTGTTGCCGGTAAGGACTCGAGAAAGGGTGGGGTGGGGGCAACTATCAATAGGTGGAAGACCCAATCACTCGCAGACCCTCACTTCTCCTTGCAAGAAGCACGGCGCCGATAGCGGCATTCGTACGATGCATTTCGCCGAGCCTACTAGACTATCTCGTTGTTTATTGTTTTTCTTTCGAATTGCCTTTTTGCATTAATGTTTTCTCTTCACACGCGGGGAAGAGAGAGAAACCACGCCGACAGAACACGATTCCTGTAGACGCCCTCTGCGCCTGTCCTACCGTGTCTCTGTCCATTCATTCTACTGTCTCTCTCTCTTCCCAAAGAAAACAGCCCGGGGTTTCTCATTCCACCGGTGTGGGGAACTCTTCCTACTGTACGGAACATCTCAGACGACCAAGTTCCCAAATGGTACTCTACCATTTACTCTACCC